TGCTGGATGGTCTTCATGGCCTTTCCAACAAGCTCAGAGTTGTGTCCATATGTCGTCGCTACCTTGCCAACCTGCAAAACTTCACCCACTGGAGCAGAGGAGAGAGGAAGGACAACCACCGTCAGAAAAACCACCGCCCCACCGTCCCCACCCCACACATATGTCATGTGAGGGGGAAAAACCAAAGACACATGCCCAAACCACATGCCAGATCGGCCAGTGACCTTTGGTCGTTCCAAACATCGGTTTTTGGGACCGTGGAGAGCGAAGCACGGAGTGAAGAAGCAAGGTCTTCCCAGTCGTGCGCAACTGATGCAACTGGGGGGCATCAATTCTAGTCAATGATGTGTCAAACAGTTACATCAACTCGAGTTCTCAGCAGTTTCCAAAGGGGTGCCAAACTTGGAGGAAAGGAGTGCTCAGTATCCACTCACTTAGGGGAAAAAACAATGCCTGGTCCTTTGGAACTGCTGGTCATTTGATTTCGGAAGTTGGGATAGGAGTTCTCAAACTGGGCATAATTTTAGGTTTGACCAACTCGTGATCTACGGGTCAAAGCAAATAGCTTGGCCAGTGTGTTGGCCGCGGTCCTTTTATAAACCAAATTTGTCTATATATCAGTGTCTATCAACCTATGTGGATATAAGAGTAGTGCTTTCGGGAAATACTCCAGGGATTCTCAACAGAGTCCGCGGGAAAAGCAACTCCGCTAGCCCAATGACACCTTTCTCACATGCAGAAGGCATCTGACGCAAACATCTTATTCATCAAAGCCAATCAGATTCAACATGCAAAAAGAAGCAACACTAACAACACAAACAATACAGTGGCATCTACCCAATACCAATAAACCAATACCCAATACCCAATACTACAAATAACCAACAAACAAACAAACCAACAAACATCAATACTACACATCTCCAACAACACAGTGGCATGGAATGCCGAAATGTTTGCACGTTTGGACATGTGGCGCCTTTCGTTTGGATCACGTCCTCCAAGGACATGTCCTAGGCATCAGATCAGGACGGACATGTTGGAGTCGGCATGTGGGTGTGTATATTCATAGGAAGACCCCCTGGCCCGGTAGACTGGTCTATTTTATTTTTTCGGAGCCGAACTGGGAGTTCTCCCTATGTCATTATACACCATGTTATACACCATGTATGTTCCGAACGGTCAAGAGTTATCCACGTGTTTGGGCAAAAAACACATGTTCCACATATTCCAGCCATTTCCAGCCCTTTTCCCCAAACTCAGGGCCTTCGACTGCCAAACATGTTGGGACGAGCTGTTCCTCTGCAAGCCTGTGGAGTGCAGGGACACTCAATCAAGCCGTGTTCCCATCCCTGACATTCCATGTAGTGTCCCATTTGGGTGGTGGGGGAAAAACATTCAGTCCCATCCGTCAGTCCCCACCGTGGTTCGTACGTACTCCATCTTTTCAGGAACCACTGATCAACCTTCACCACCTGAGAAGCTGACTGCTTCGATTTTCACATCGCGCCCGTGTTTTCTTCGGTCATCGCCGCGGTTCTTTTGGTCGTTTCGTCTGAGTCCCCACCAGCGCCCACGACATGATTCCGGCGCTGGAGGACCTGACGGACAAACAGTGTGTCGACATGTGTCGACATGGTCGTCCTTTTGTCGACAGGATCAAGGAGTCTTTTAGGGTCTCCTTGTTTCAATACAATGCACATCATAGAACAAACACCTCAACTAGCTTCTTGTACGTGACATTTTTGGAGTCTCCAGGCATGTTCGAGGGCTCAGTGACCTTGGACTGGGCTTTCAAATTGCTCATCCGTGAGAAGCTGGAAGACCCTTGGCCCATCAAGTGGGGATTTAAATTCCAATTCCCTCATCTATCTATTCCAGGATGAACTTAACTCCAGATCTGGAGGTGTTCTCCCAGTTTCTATGTTAGGTTTTGATGGGGTGATAGTCCCTGGGAATAGATTCACCACTGCTTCAGCCCTAAATGAAAGCTTCTGTTGCCAGTGATTCTTTCTCATGGTTTGGTCTGCAGTCTGGGGAAGGCCTGAGGTGAAGTCATTGATGTTGTCCCATTGAAAAACCAGCTATAAACTGCTCACCTAGCTAATTCGTTCTTGGTCTCAAACCTCAAAACGGAGGACCCGAACCAGCTAGTCCCAGCATTCCAGTTGCCTTAAAGCAGCCACTTAATATCCCTCAAAACACTTGGAAAGAACCAGCTGACCGAGGAATGTGATCGGTCGACCCCCCGAGAAAAGCAGGAACGAATAGCAACCCTCTTCAGATGTTCGTACAAGTTGTTCAGCTAGACATCGACCACAAAAGGTGTTCTCAATGTTCTGAAGGCCACCTTCCTCTACCAAAGGGGGAGAAAAGACCAAGCACCGGCTTTCTGATCACCCCGCACACCCGTCGCCGTCCATGGCGGGAGTCCATGGCCTCCGTCGCCGTGGAAGTGTGGGCGCTTTCGTCGCTTCACTCAAGTCGCGCTTGAGCCCTTGAAGTTTATCGCGGAAAGGCAACGCTGAAGCGCTGGGCATGCCCCAGCTCCCCCTCAATTGAGGGGCTCGGGATTCGCTGGACGAATCTAGCGTGATCAGGGACCAAGAGTGTGACCATCAGTGATCAACTTATCAGTCTTCAGTCTTCCACCATCTTCGACCCACCAAGCTTCACCTTAATCCATAGGCCCATTCACTGCTGTAACAGAAGAAAACCACAAGAAACGACTTCCGGACGTCGAAATCGGGGCGACAGACTTGGCCCAGTTTGCCATGGAATGCCATAAGGTCGACCCAGGTCCCAGTGACTCCAGTCGCCCAGCATTGGAAGATGTGTTTGAAGCTTGAAACTATACACTCTGACCCACCTAACATGGACCGAAGTGGATGGCATGGCCCCTTCGAAGACGGCTTTCCTTGACGAATACGGGGGTGTTCCATCCATGTGAATGACTCGGAGTGTACCAAATGAACCACTTGACAGCTTCAGCACCCACTCCCTTTTCATCGCTCGCAGGAGTGACAATGCATTGGACCAGCAATGACATGGAAGAGTTCGACGTATGAATGCGCAAGGGGTGGGTTCAATTGGTATCAATTGGTGCTTGGAGGGTTGGAGCCCTCCATTTTCTCCTCTCACTTAAAGAGCCTGCTGACAGTTACAAAGCTGATCAAACAAGTCTCTCCACCATGGCCATACCACCTGTTATGACTCTTTTGCGGCACCTAATATGTGCACTGTCTTCCGGGAAATGTGAACAACTCCAAACATCTAGATTCCTATGTGCTCAAAATGATAGAGGACGTGTTCCTTTTCCGCTTCCAAGTTGGTGGAAGAGAGGGTGCTACCCTCGGAGTCAGGCTTGTTTCTGATCGGCAACATGGAAACCGAATGCATGGAGTCCAACCACATGTGGTCATGAGACTCGACGCCATGAGCTGGGTGAACAACATCCGCAACGACGTCCTTACCGCAACGACATGAGAGGCAAACAACGCGCACAAAAAAACAGTAAAGACCATATTTGTACGTGTGTGTGTATATATAATATAGCATGTAAGTTATTGTGATCATGCACCCACTTTTAGTGATAAATTTGTGGACACTTCTCGACGTTCTCAATTGTCCGCATTAATAGGTCAGGCTGGTTGAACATTGCCGCCAGAAGAACAAATCATGTCAGCTCATGCTCACATGTGGAAGCTCCATCTCCAGTTCTGTGGCCAGGTCATTGCTCGCCCTGAAATGATGTCGTCGTGCCAGCAATTACTGGCACTCCTGCAAAAGCAGAAGGCTTTCGGTACATTTACAGGGCTTTAAAAACCCATTGAATCTATCCAGCCAAACGCCCAGGTGAACACCCCCTTTCTGCCGCCAACTCCAAGGGGTTCCACATGAAACTGTGACCGCCCCCAGCAGCTTCCACGTGACGTCTTCCGTGTTTTGCGCCGATCAAACATGGGCCTCACTGTGCCAGATGCTGTGTTCCCATGCTAGAACATGTGAGGCCTAACTGTGTGTTCACCATATCACATGTTCTGCCAGGCTCCTGGGAACGTGAGATTTTCTGGGGACGTGTCCATGTTGTCCAAGTGTTGCGCTGATGGAAGGTCTTCCCAAACACTCCATGGGACTGGCAGACTTATATACCATTATTACCTACAACATTGGGGCGAGGGATCAATGGAACCCTATCCATGCCTGGCCCCCCAGGCCCCCAGGGTGGTTCGGCAATAAGTAGACACCCCGAAACAAAGGGGCCCACACATGTAGTGTCTGGGATTGAAGAGGATTGAAGATGTTTCTTTCACCAGGGCTCCCCCGGTCACCTGGGCTCCTTTCTCTGGCCACTTGAGACAGGTCAGGTCAATGGGGACCGGTTTTTGGACGACTGGCTGTAGATGCCAAAAAGAGCCGGTTTAGGTCTGGACCGTCCCTCTGTGATGACAGAGGGACTCTGACCGCCCCTCTTGATTCGTTCTATGGGTTTTCGACACTTGGGACTTGAGTCGTTTTCTGTTTGCGTGTGTTTTCGGATCCACACCAGGCACTGGCTGGGCGGAGTCGCAGCTGGCCCGGCACCGGCTGGGAGACGAAGGAGACGAAGTGGCAGGTTTCTTTCCGACGGCACTCGTGGCATGTAGACTCGTGGCACTCCTGGCATTCATACCACCCCGAAGATTTGGATGGTACCACCTTGCTGCGGGGGAGTTTGTAAACAATCAAGAGTCTTCATTCTACGCTCATCTGAAATCCCCTATTCGGGTGTGAGTCTTTGGCATCAGTGATGAGAGATACAGACGGTCAGCGGAAGCTTGTCATTGGAACATACGGACCAACAAAAACATGGCCCGACCTTCCCGACGGCCCGACGTCCGTTCTTCACCTGGAAAAGCTAAATTATCTCGGCAAGAGACCCCAAACAGTGTGACTTACCGTAAGAACCCCTAGTGAGTCCACACTGTTTGGGGAAAAGCTCGATTTGGGTCCTTCAGGGTCTTGGAAATCCGTTCTTCACGGTTTCTGTGTCTCACACCGCCGGTACCTCAAGGCCAAACGATGCTGCTGGACACCGTTGCTTTGAAGCGGTCCATTGTCGACGCCGTTTTTAAGGCGTTTTCTAGGCATCTTTGGCATATACTTCCGACTCACTCGCTTTGCTGTGGTTCCTCGCCAGTCTTCTCCTAAACAGGCCAAAAGTGCCCGGGCGAAGAGTGGTAGTCTGGAAGACTGACATAGACCCTCACGTCCTGGCCCCCTGGAAGAGTGTTTTCCTCTACCAACCAGTGGTTTTCAGGGTCCATATTAGTCTTCCAGGGTGTAAAAGTGGGAGTGAGAGGTGTTTTACAAGCCAAACGATCGGTTGCATTTGATCGATCATATACCGTACCGCATTGGTCTTTCAATGTAACGCCGAGAACCGAAACATCAAAAGTTTGGAAAACAAGCAAGTGGCTATTTCATGTTATTTCAGTGCCCTCTATTCAAAGGCTTCAATGATAGACCCTGAACCGATGGTGCTACCATCAACAGCCCTCCAACAGCCCTCTCAAGCCGCCAAAGTGATAGCAGGTATCACAAACACTTTGTCACTTCTTTGTTCCCATTCAGTGTGACAAGCAAAATGACGAGAATCCTGTCAAGATTCCTTTTTACATGCGCTGGAACACATCTGGTAGTCCAACGGAACTGCTTCTCATCCCCTACTCATTGACACTGAAGCCATTGACTACAGTGGCTATGCGGCTATGCTGTGTTTCAGAACCATGACCCAAATAGGGGTACAGCCTGTGCAGGACTTACTCTTTCCTCAGCGGTGTCCATGGTAGTACCATGCTACACCCCAAAACACACTGCGAGCGCAAAGGCCGTCAGAAAAAGCGAAGATGGAGCCCCCAAAGGGGCAGAACTTCTGTGGCAGGACTTCGACATTGCCATAGTCAGTTGGCGGTGAATGCTTGCCCAAAAGCAGTCAAGAAACAGGTCTGGAAGACTTCTGATAGTGTGCATGGTCCAATCTGACGATAGGTTTGGGGTTCAAAACATATTCTGAGAATCTCTGAGAACAACATCAATTGCCGCACAATAGGACGGTTTCTGGAGGACTAGGACTCCCAACTTCCTGAGCTTTGTTGTTTGTGTTGGTTGTCTTTGGGATGGTTCGGGAAAGCCAACAGTTGAATAGAAGCACATTGTTGAATTCGACAGCTTAAGCAGGGATTGAAAGCCACTTCCAACCTGTAGATTCTGGAATGGGTTGATTGGAATATGGATGAATATAGGAACCCCACCCACAGCACAACCTCCTCAACTTGACCCCTTAATTTTTCCATGTTTTTCCGGATACGGACTGCAAGACTAGGGCCCCGCACGAGGAGTCCCTCGCCAAGCAGTCCTAGCCAGGAAGACTGAGACTCGCCAAGGGCAAAGAGGGGCTGGATGACGAGTCGTCCACGGAGAGGAGGATGGATTACAGGATCAAAGCTGAATCACTGCATGGGCAGGTGAACATACCCGGTCAACGTCCTCTTCACTGCTGAAAATGCTACACTCAACCTGGCTCCAATAGATCCCAGCAACCATGCAACTCATTGGCTTTGCGCCACAAACGTCTACACATCTTGGATGAGCGACCCTTGCACCCCATCTTCGCCGCCGCGAAGAGTAGCCGCCCAGATGCCTTGAATTCGGGCTCTGCTGGTTCGCACTCCCCGTAACAGACCTCAGCGAAGCAGCTGGGTCCCATGGCCGCGGTTGATGGAAGAGTTAAACACGTGTCTCGTCATCACACGACCAAAAGCCCATTGTCTCAGAGTGAACAAAAACATGGGTTGTTTCGGGAGAACATATACACTGATGACCCATCACTCCTAGATCAAAAGAGTTGAACCCTGACCTGGGGAGATCTGTTCCCCCATCTCTGACCATCAGCTGCTCAGCTGCTCCCCCACAAAGTCAGTCCACTGCACCAAAGCAATGTTTCAGGACCAAGGCGTTCTGAGAAATCTATATATAGTAGATAGTGGGGGATATTCCCCATGACCAGATATGACCAGGGCCCTCCTCGATGACTGGATGATGGCTCTGTTTCAGGCCCTTTTCTAAAAGAGATAGAATTTTTGAACGACGGTTTCTGCTTTACTGGGACATACCCTAGATCCACAATTGTTGGGAAACCCAAATCGATGATACCCCATGTTGAAACACCTGAGCTCCACCGGTGTAGTTCAGCTATTGAGCCAAACCATCTGGGGAGGTCCACGTAGCCGGCAGGAGCAAAAGTTGTAAAGCCAAGTTGGGAGCTTGATCAACATCCACAACAAGAATCCCAAGGTCACGTAGGCATTCTTCACACGGATGTCCGGAAAACTGACAGTACTGGTTCACCAACCCAGGCTGTGCAACCGGTGGCATCGGCTCCGCTAACAACATCGGACTTTGTATTTTATATGAGCTCATTGGCATGCGGAACAAGGACTCACCGCATCAACAAACAAACTCAGAACACTGGATTTTGGAACACATGAAAACACCGTGAAATATAGCATCTTCAGCTGAGCTGGGCTCTCCGGGCCGATTCCAGATACTCATCCGTGTACTCATTCCCTTGCGTTGCCTGGAGGCGGAAGGCAGCGGACTGAAGAGCATTAAAACGAAGTGAAAAGACACAATGCAGAACCAAGAAACCAGGCAAACCTTCATGGTTTGTACATTGATACACAAACAGCTTGTCTTTACTCGGAGAAGTACAAGATGGGATACTACTTAGGCACTAGCGGAAAGGGCTTCATCTGCGACACACGCACTCGGGGGATCTCGGGGGGGACACATGGGCATACTGGTCCAAGGATCAGGATAAGCAGGCACTGGTACTAAGGATGCTCCTAGTAGCGATGCCAGGAGCCCCTAGTAGCGAACATAGCTCCTATAGTAGTAAGGCGAGGAGCCCCTAGTAGCGTCCTTGGACCTGCTTATACTTTTCACAATCACGTCCCTTTTTATACTTTTCACATCAGTATGGCACACGATGGTCGTGCATTGGCACGAGGGTCTGGGTGGGGGGTGGGGCCAACAATCACATCCATTTTGGGTGCATTTCACATCACTGGCCTTGCACACACTGCGTGCCCCAAACCGGCGCGCCACAAAGGAGCCCCACCGTCCCCGCGCCGTCTTTCGGTGCCACCAACGGCGCCGAGGTGGGACACAATGGGCTTCCCCCGAACGACCCTGTTAGGTGGCTGTGCATTGCCATGTTTACCGTGCACGTACGTGCGTCTTCATGTCGTCACCTCTGATCATACATGTGTATGGTATATTGGCAGGTCAAGGGTTTATTGACTTTCTTGGCATTGGGTATTGATGCTCTTGCTGGTCAAAGAACCTTTCAGGATTGGCAAGTAGGCAAGAGGAGCGGTCCACATCTGCTCTAGCACCTCCTAGCTGATGACTTGGTGGAATTTTTCATCCGTCCGGCCGAGCATTTGGTCAGAACATGTCAGAACACGTGAACTGGACGCCAGGAGTCCAGTCGTCACCCTACGAGTACCGATCCCTGGACCCCAAACCATCCCCAAATCCGAAGTCCAAATCCTTGGACCACAGTGACATCACATATCGAATAAGGATGCATGCTCCGATGTAGGTGACGAATCATGCGGGATATATAGGGATTGCTTTCTGTTCTGTTCCATCCATCCTGTCCGTCCTTTCTGCAATTCAACTCGAACGGAAGCAAACCCATACAGCATGCAAAACTCTACTGTAGACTCTAGATCGACACACATTCATTTCCCGCCCTGTCACATTGCGACATTTGCAGTGCTCCTCATTCCAAATGCATCCAACATGCGTAGATCTTTCCCGGACATGTGTTTCCAGGAGCCCGGGCTTTTTTCATTCCGGACTGGAAACCCAATGGTTTCAAGCGTTGCATGACTTGAAACCAGCCACAAAATCAGCCCTTCCAGCCTTGTAAAACCAATCTTGCCCTTCCGAATCTTTGCCTCAGAGCCGCACGGACGACGGTTTCGTCCCGTTAAGCCGTGTCCAAGGACCGCCGCCCGTGTCCGGTTGGAAACGACGAAAGACCGCTCGAACGGCTCGGGCTTGGGTGCGGCACCTTCCGCTTTAGGCTGCCACTCAGAGCATCTGAAGAAAGAGTATGGTGAGTGGAAAGCAAGCAGTATACTGTATACGTCGAAGGTCCATTCGACTTAATTAGAGTGATGGAAGATGGAGTTATTGTGGTATAACTGCAACCGCGGAATTTAAATGAATTTAGCCTACCAGGTAAGAAGATCAGCCAGGCTCCTTGACACCCCCGCGACGGTGTTTCCATCCCCCATCGACTGATTGCCTGGGTCCTGGGTACATGTGTTTCGGCCATCAGGAGTATGAACGTTGTCATGACCCCATTCAGATGGATGGCATGAACGCAGAGGAAGATCCACAACTTTCCATCCACTCAAGGCCGATGTCATGGTCAGGTCTTTTTTCAAGGGAACTACAAGGATAACTGTTGTCTAGTCGAAGGGTCAATGGAGATGCTCAGGCTCACGTATTCACGGTGAAAGGTCAATTGTTTGTTGTTCAGCACTGGGAGTCACACATACAACCACTTACACGTGATAGGTCCAGGACAAAGGTAGCTAGATGTAGCTAGCAGTTCTTGATCTGTCGTTACCCTTCATGGTTTCCAGTTCCTCACAAAAAGTCAGAAAAATACTGGGACAGCAGCGCAGCAAGGCGCTGCCACACGCACTGGGCATTGCACTGTAATAGACCCAACGCTTCTTTTGGTTGTAATACCTGTCCTTGGATCGCATCAGGTGGAACAGCTCCGACGCATGACGCGTTGAAAGACACACATCCTCCTAGATCATCCTAGGTCCAACAGCTGACCCTGCGTGACACCCCCGAACCTGGAGGTCCCTGGAACCAGCACCAGCCACTAGTGCAAACAGCTGCGACCACCGGCTGCTGTTGTTTCAAAAGAAAGAAACCGGAGAAGTTCCACAAGATTTCCAAGGGAAGAATAATGAAGAGTATCTGACCCAGCACAGAGGTGATCTTGGACTGACCCGTAAAATGTGGGGTCTTCCTGAATTCCCCCATTCCCCCAAGTCAATGTGACAACAGATCGAAAAAACACACACTATGAAACGTAATACTGCTAGTAAGGAGGCATGAAGTGAACTGGCCAGGGGGCCAGAAGACCGGTCTGACCAGAAGTTAGGCCATGGGCGGTGTGGACACCCAGAAGTATTTTTCTTCATCCAATAACCATCCAAACTGGCTGGTGCTGGTTCATTGCTGTTGCTTCTGCTTCACTTGTGTTTCATTGTTGTCACGGGTTCCACTGGTGTGTTCCTCACGCTGGGTGGCTTTCTGCTTATTGCCTATCGGAAGGCTTTCAAACCTTATCAACTATAAGCGAACAGGCCAATGATATTGCTAGAGTTCTTTAAGTCCGTCTGTCATCTGTTCTATCAGGAAATATCTTACGTTTCTGCCTATGAGCCCGAGCCCCTGTGTCAACCACAGGCTAGGATTTCACTATCCAATTAGTGTTCACTTCACAGCAGCCATCCTCTGCATCAATCCCCTACAAATCCCACAGAACCAGCTTCTTGGCTTCAAACCACCCAGGGTGCCCTGAAGGTCGTAAACCCTAAGTGGGTCGAACGAAAAGGAACTCACTTTATGGACCATCCTGATAGCTGTAACAAACTCTGAAGACCATTCAGGTCGATTGGGCGCCTGCCGCAGAAGACGACATATCTGTGGTTTTATCTCAAGACTATGAACTACAATGTTGCCTGAGAACCAGTCCTTGCTGCCTTTTTCAGTCCTCGGCCCAGTCCGTCCCGTCCCGCCGGGCGTCGTAGTAGGTCTCGGTGGCGCGCCGTGTGGGCATCTCCACCCAGCGCAGCGGCAGCATGGTCTCCTTGCGGTCGTAAAGCCGAATCCTGCGGCGTCTCCAGCGACTGAAGTGTTCCGATGCTTCACCAATGTTTTGATTGGCATTACGAATCGGTTGAAAAGGGGTCGGCTGAGTCGGCGTTTTTGTTAATATGGATGGTCTGGGATAGCTGGCATTTGAGGATGAACACATGTGAACAGTGTGGCAAGAAAGCACCAGCTCCCCCTACATAGACCCCGGTGGCAAAGACTGGTGGAATCCAAACAAGTTCCGTCTGAACGTCGTGGCCTCTGGTCTCAGACGGTCCCATCTTCGACCGAAGACGGTCTCCTCCGCGCGAGGAGTTACCACTGTCGAGACGGACTGTCCAGACAACGCACGTAGACAACGCACGTATTCCCCAAACAGTTCGTGTGTGACACACGTCACGTGTATAAGAATACAGTATGCATATATATATATATAATATATATATATATATTATATATACACGTTATTTCTATAATTATCTAATGGGCAAAACTTCTGCCCATTATGGGTAAAAGTGCCTTTGCGTGTACTCAGGCGACGTTGACCGCTCAAACAAATAAGGATCCACCCATATTGGTTGCAGAGACTCCCATAGCGATGATGAGCACCATGATATGCAGGGTGTGAAGTGTGAAGTACGGTATAAGGAATTCCAAATGACGCTCACTTTGGGATCTTTGATAGTGACATCGGCCGTTTGGGGGGAGTGAGTGCAATGGCATGCTTTGGACCAGGGGAGCGAGGTGTCAACACGTCAGGAGGCAGAACTGCCTCCCGTACCGTCAGAATGCCTGTGACTGTGCATCAGCGTTTTTGACTTTCGAGGCCGCAGCTTGGGGGCTCTTAGCGACAACAAGCAGAGTGATCTACCAAAATGAAGGGCAAACGTTGTTGCCGAACGAGGGTGTAGGTACTTTACAGGGTGCTTTGAGGGATGAATGTAGGCATCCAATCATCAAACCACCGAAGAGTCTGGGTTCTGTTCCTTCGATCGCGCCCCTGTCACGAGGGGTGCCCCACCCGATGGGACTCCGTTGGATTTCTGCAGCGAAGCACAACTTCTGCAGAAAAAGACTTGTGTCGTTCTCATTCCATGAGTGAGGTGGCTGTACAGAAATTAAAAACTTGAAAGAAGATCAACATAGATCAACATATCAAACTCTAGCCGTGTCAGTTTCATCGGCAGTACACCACCAAAGCGACAAGTGGATCCAAGGCTGCTATGTGGAGGGCCCCTTTCCCGGTACTCAGGAGCCTTACTACTTTATAGGAACAAGGACGCTACGAACGGGGCGCTCCTGGGAATTTGATGGGTACTGGAATGGGGTCGTCTTGCCGGCCCGGCCGCGCCAAATGCGGCCGAACCGTTCGACTGGGTACCCCGACCGGTACTTCCGCTCTCCTGACCTGTGCAACGAGCAACGCCACACGCTGGAAGATATGCTGCCCCATTGACCCCTTTTCAACCACCCCAATCTAGCCAATGGCTCTATACACCCCAATCAACCACTCCTTTATTCTATACATGGAGTGTTTGGGACAAAGACTGGGTGTGTCAAATTGGTCGTGGATCCAAAGAACATGTTGTTCCAAGTGACACCGCTGTCACAGCTAGGACCTATTCTAGTCGGCAGGTCAGCTTTATGAGGGCACAGCCCTCCATGGAGCATGAAAAAACCTTTAATAACAAAAAAGACCGACTCAAAGCAGGTATTGGTGAGCTGGTCTTGTCGGCTGCAAGCAAACAAAAATGCAAGCAATGGGATGAACCATACAATCACTTGGAAGGGGCTACTGAGGTAAATCGGGATGAGCATACTTATGAAACTTTTGAGTTAAAAACCATACTGTACAGATTGCATACATCGGACTTTTGACCACTCATCAAAGCGGGATCATGCCTTAAAGTAAGCCTGGTAAGTACTCGTCTCTCCCAGGTGGCACCAGGTTTTCGTTTGTCGTCCGGTGTCTTGTTTCATTCAACATGGAACCCTTCCCCAAACTGCTGCAAAGGTGTAGTTCTTATAGTTAAAAATCCACAGCCTGCGGAGCTAGATGGGGAAATTCTTTACTCTTTGAGCTCTTTGTGTGGACTATCCTGGCAAGCAAACAAATACCCATAATCTGAGGCACTGGCGTGGAACCCTCAAGTGGCCCTGCATCTTCCACCTGCAAAGGAAATGCACGTGTGGCCACAGAACCTGTTGTGGGTGTTTTGCCAAGTCCTTGATGGGCAACAAGTCAAAACTTGATACTATACACCCTGTTACTATAGAACTAGTAATGGGTTCAACACTATATATACACCTGTACACTATACAACCGACTAGTCGGGAACGCAAGCAAAACATAACAACACATCTAGTCTGAGTCTGAGTGGTGTTCCCTTCATGGCCGATCGTCTGCCACCGACCAAAAGAACGCACGATTGACCGATGGGAGGGACCGATCCAAACGGTTCCTCTGACTCGGAGTTAGGGAATTTAATTCTACTAGCTTCTTGTTACTACTAGTAAGGCACTTGTTACTACTAGCGAGGCACTTGTTACTAGTAGCATTTCAAGGCCGAAACGGGCCGAAGGATACCCTTAATGTACTGTATACCGTACTGCATACCCTCAAATGTTTTGGATTGGCCCTGTGAGCTCGTCCGGGGGGGATGCGGATCGCCCATTTTCGAGCAAAATCCAAACCAAAAACCGCCAGGGGAATTCTAAGCTTCGAGGACACTGCGGGACCCTCAAGGCGTTTGAGGATGTGAACAGACTGGATCATACTGGATCCAAAACCACTAAACCATACTAAACCTGTGGACTTTCGTGCCGAGTCCATGGCTCGCCCGCTACCGAGTCAACACCGGCCGTTGTCCGACAAACGAGCGCCGTTGCCTTGATGTTGAGGACGTTCCAAACCTCGGTCTGAAACAGCGTCAAACGGACGACGCAACGAAAAGAGACTGAAGAAAGCACCATCAAAGACCAACCACTTCCCAAACAGCAACACGAAAACCAAGGCAGGCGAGTTGAAGCCCAGAAACAACGAGGTGTGGCGTTTTTTCGGACCAACATAATCCGGCAAATGGAATTGCAGTTCTAGGTAATACTGTACATGCAGATATATAGACATATACATATATATATATACGTATATGTATAATTATGTAATATATATATCTGCATGTGCAGTATGATAACACTTATGATAACACTTATGATAACATGATAACCCAAATTAGACCCAACCCTGGCGCACGGAGACAAGTCAGCGGAAGATGGTATACCTGGTTCTGCAAACGAATGGAATGGATTGAATGACGATGAAATGGAATGGAATTGATGAACAGTAAACACACTTTTCTTTCCGCAACCAATATCTGAAAGTGACACTGTTCGTCATAAACGAATCAAACACATGGAGCATACAACATGTTGGGTAAACGGCCCGGAAAGCAACATGCAAAGGGCTACGCGCACCGAGTGTTTTTTAGGTGTTTTTTGCCTTTCGGGCCACTCAAGTCCTCGTCTTGGAGTTCATGAACTCCAAGGCGATGACTTGAGTGGATTTTCAAGACACCATCATCAGCTCATCCTACGCATCATGCCCGTAACGAATCAGCGCATCACTCGCGTAGGGCATCAGCTCATCATCCGCATCATGCACGTAGTGCATCAGCTCATCATCCGCAGCATCATCATCATCATCGTCATCATCATCATCAGCGAAGTGGATCATCCCACCAGAAAGGTTGCCTTTCCGGGCACCCCACCCCCGTTGACCCAACATAGTTACCGGACAGCACTGCCGGAACTTTCAACACTGCAATCAAATGCAATCAAATTAGTTGGGTTCTTTGACTGTTGAGTTTCATCTGGCATGATCGTTTTCTTGAATGCTAGGACTGCTCGGACTCCTCGATGGACAGTCGGCTCCCGCTGGCCGTCGACAAAGATGCGGGCTTTCTGTCAGACGGCAACCAAGGACCAATGACTGTTAACTATGTTCGCTACTAGGAACAAGTGCATCCCTACTAGTAACAAGTGCCTTACTAGTAGTAACAAGAAGCTAGTAGAAACAATAAATCCCCGTCGGCCAGATTCTCATCGTCCTGACCTGTCCACGCTGGCTAAACGTGCTAGCCATCGGCACGGAAGTGTTTAGAATTTATCCTGCCTGTTCACCAGTCAAGTACCCTTTTCACACTCCATAGCACGGCGACCTACAACCACCTTTTTTTCTTCATGAACTCTGTCGATGTCTGCTGCAATGCTGCACACCTTCTCAATCCCACTCGCACTCGCCTAGAAAGATACACATGGTCTGTAGCTTCCCCAATCGTCTCAATCCGTGCTTCAGGAATCGCAATCGCTTCAATCGTCTCCCATCCAAACCGACGCAACGAAGCGGCGTTTCCAACGTCCGAAGCGGAGTGAGCTGCCTGCTTCCAGACTCTTCCAGCACCAGAAAGCCAACAAAAACAAAGCATGACAAAGCAAACTACTAGCGTCCTTGTTACTACTAGTAAGGCACTTGTTACTAGTAGCTTTATTGAGACAAAGCAAACACGTTTGTCTTTTTGAACAGTTTCCTGTCCCTGTCACAGAAAATCAAATTAATTACTGCTTCCTTTCACAGCTAAATCCAATCGAGCAATTCGGTGGCTTCAGATGAGTTTTGGTTTAGTTTTGGCTACCATTGAGTTTATAAAGCTAGCCTTCCATAAAAACAACACTTATGTTTATACTTGATATGGTCTCTGGGCCATTGTTGCGCACTATTGTGCATGTAGAGCCCTTTTTGAAGGCTATTCAACAGCCAACAGCAATCTCAAAACAATCTGAACAGTCTTTCCAAATGTTGACAACACAGATCCTATTGTAATATCCTATTGTTATATTTTGACGCCCGGATTTCAGAATGATAGTATTTGTTTGTCAAACAGAGAACCATTTCCCAACAATATTATACTGGATCTTCAAATGGCCGATTTTTGACTGGACGCATTTTGTCAGCGCAAATCACACTGTTGCAAACAAGGGATCAAACTCCAAAGACGTGGAAAAGCAACATTTGAATGTCCAACAAGCCGTTTGGACGCCAAGAGAATCATTATTGGTTTTGATTTCCACCTTGTCACCACGAAGCGTGCCATCTTTAGAATAAATATGTGGCGAAGGCATTTGCTGTTGTGAAAAAGGCACGTATTTGCGTCATTTGACGGTCTTTACTATAGGCATGGAAGGTCCGGCTACTTGCAATTGTTCTCCTCAGGCTGCCCCAGTTGCTTCTCTTGGTGCAAAGCAAATTCGCAGGTTATTCAGCGCGACTGGGGAAGCCTGTATAGAAAGGGTCAACAAATCTACCGGTACGATAGTTTTGATGATATAGACCAGCACCACCCAGTTCGGGTGGTTTCTCAAAAGCATTTGTCATGGATGCTCGTGTTTGAATATACCGGTTTCAGTTAACTGCCATCGGATCATCTGGTTTTGGGGACATGTGACAATTGAGTGTGTTTTTTTAAAGATGAAACGCCCTGAAAAGGGGGTGAAACTCACCCTCCACACAGACATCCACAGACCAACATCCGCATCCGCCCTCATCCGCCCAGAAATCGGCCCACATCGTCCAAGAGGCTCTGGACTTCATTCTGCAAGCGTCCGAGATCTCACACTCAAAGCGGATCTCGGGAGGTCGGCGGATCGGCGGATCTCGGGGGGGCGGTGTTGGAAGTGGGGAAAGCGATGAAAAGAGGTGTTTGTGGAGGGAAAGAAGGCTCGAGGGAAAATGGTGATGCTCAAATCTTGGGTGATGCATTGTGATACTCTGTGGAGTGGATTCCCAGTGACCACTCTATGACAGCATCGTGCAGATTGGATGGTGATTGGTAAACACATGGTGCGGGGGTTCGTAACCAACCCGAACAGGGTGGTGCTGGTAAGGAGTCCCGCACCAAGCAAATTAAACTGTAACAACGTTTGATCGTTCCAAACGTCTTGAGATGTGTCTTGGGGCCACCAATTTTCGCAAACGTTGTTTATCTTTTCGTCGTCAGTGAAGGTTCGCGTGGCCACTCGGAAGTCGGTGTGCGATTCGGGAGGTGGAAAAGCATCTGATTGGAGTTTGACCGGGGAGAATTCTACAGCTGCCGAGTGGTCAGGGCCGATCGGCAAAGGTTGCAAGTTCGGTGTTAGGATGTGTTGGATATCTACTTGTGGGGTGTTAATTATGCACATTTAGCTGCTGTTTGATGGATGTTCATGTTTACATATTTTACACAAATTGCGCTTCTCATGTCTTCTTATGTCTGAACAACCCCCATGCTGGAACGGTGAGAGGAGCTGTCTTTCTCCTCGGTGTTGTGTCTTCCTCGCATCGTTGCGACCAAGTTGAGACCCAGGACGCTATTGCCGCCGATGTAGAGGTTCACGCGCGGGTTCCTGAGCTCGATCGAACGGCTGGACGGGTTTGGGGCGGAGTTGGGCAGGACTCTTCACTGGATGGGTGTTAAAGGGATGAATCATGTCAAGATTCATAAACTACCCCTAAAACATAAAGGTAAAGGTGGTTCCCAAAGGACAAACAACACATAAACGTCTTCGTGATGTCTGTTCTCTCCCACTCTTTTCGTCTGTGAGTGATGTTGCCATTCAATGTTGGTAGGTTTCGTTTGGAATTTGCTTAACTTTCTTCTGATTTGCTGATTCTTAAGGAGATGTCGGCTGTCACAACTGTTCCATTGATGTTCACAGCTTCCAAACCTTTTGGAGGAAAACCAACAATTGAGAAGGTCAACCTGTGAAGAGTGAAGAGTGCAAAAAGCCACCAAACTCTACATAACTTTGACTCCAAACAAAGTTATAAAGTAAGGACAGGTTGCTGCATTCGTTAAAGAATACATTGTGTTTGCTTAATCCAATCCATCACTGACTCCAAGAATACTCCCCTGCTTGATTCGTTCCTTTCTCAATCCAATACAAATCTCCTTCTATTTCCATTGCAGAATCGGAAAGTCCTCCTCCCCAATACTAACCTCCCTTCATCCCAGCTCCAAATCCACCTCTCCGATACCAATCACCTTTCATCTCCATTCTAGAAGTATCCTCCCCTCTCCAATACTTGTATCGTGTTAGTTTTGTCTTTTATATAGATTCTTTAACTATATTCAGGATACTTGTGAGCACCGGCCGCCCCTGTTGTATTAATCCAAACATTCTATCAAGGCGGACGCTATGCTGGATGCGGCGGAGTCGAACCAGCGGGGCATTGTGAACTGATCACAGCCAAAGCCATCCGTTCCCGAAGGAAGTTCAGTGAATCCAACAAAAGAGCATCCACACGCTGGATGCCTGATGTTTTGCCAATCCTCGCACCCCTTAAGATACGGATCATGGAAAAAGGATCCTGACTCAAACCATCCAGGAACTTTTTAAACCCTGCACCAACACCGAACAAGCGAGCACCCAAGCATCATAAGGAGCAGTGCAAGAGCAATCTAGTGTATAGTGTATACATTATACACTGTAATGTTTATTGATTCATGTCAATTCTGCATGTATGTTGGTATGGTATGGTATGGTATGGTATGGTATAGCATGTTCAAGGTCCAACAGGCGGCATGCAAATCAATGCCAAGTTACACTGCTCTGGTGAATCCTTAATAAAGTCACCAATGATGGTCTCCAGGCACCAATTCATTTCAGCTGGTTCGGAAGCCGTCATTTCAATAAAACACATCTTCCCTTCTTGATTCACCCAGGTTCGGAATCAAAAAACATCTTCAGCAACACCAGGTCAGGTGACCCCCAAGAAGACCCCCACTGAAGGATGCTGAAGTCCCTTGGCAGGTGAGGTGTTGCACTCGGCCAAGGGACCCCCAAGAAACGTCTTCCACCTTCACACGTCGCCCGTTGAGGTAGACGGATCGGCCTGGCGCGTCATCGCGAAGGTGCCCCAAAGCCGCACCCCCGGTGCGCCATGTTTTGGACAGGGGTTGCGGTGTTTCCTCAACATGGTGAGGAAACAATGACAGGTGTTTCAACTCTTCGACAAATCCAAATTGAAGACATGTGGGCCTTGTCTCTGGTCTTTTTCCTGGTCTGGTCCTTGAACAGGTCGGACAGGTCCGGATGTGAATTGTCTGTGAGACCAGGTCATGGTCTTTTTCCTGCGAACAGCCACTGGTCACTGGGCGCATGGTCCACTGGTCAGGTCCAGTGAGAACCTTCTGGACGCTGACGCGGACGCTGTGCATGTATGCTGTGCATGTATGATGTTTTACCAGTGTACCGAGTCTACCCTGCAAGCAAACAGTTGTTTGTGTCTTGGTTGCAGTTTGCTAGACATACTTATTGGAGTCATGTGGAATCTCCCAGCAACATGAACTGGGGGCATGCACCAGCAGAAGGCGTCTCTAAGTCCAACCGTTGGCGATCGACCAGCATTAACTCCTTCAGATCTCCCAGTAGGTCGTTGGACCTTCAGGTCTGGTCGAATGCTCACATGACCTGGTCGAACGACATGACCTGGTCGAAGCATCACCGCCCCGAACAATCCAGCATGATTGACGAGATTGACGCCTGTGGTCGTCCACTGATTCACCACCACTTGGTAGAGTCCTGCGGAAACCCTGGCTGGGGTGTGACCTGGTTCATGGGGCGAGTCGTTCAAATACCACAGGCCGTAAAGGTTCGGAGTCATCTTGAGATTTGCGGGTGATTGAACTAGATTTTAGATTTTGTCCTCGGATTGTGTTGTGAGACAGATCCACTTGCCTTCATTCAAGGTCTTGTGATTCTTCCCTGAACTTCCTCTCACATTCTCCGTTCCTCTATATAAATGAAGATATTTGTCACCTTGCTGGGATTCAGGATTTTTCTTGATGGCTGTGCCTCAAAGCCTGACTGAAAGCCCCAAAATGAGGCATTTTGGTGATAGGATGTGGCCAGGATGGCTGCGCATAACGGCGATACTATACTTCTCTCAAACACATTAAATTATATATATATATGTACTGGACTCAGCTCCACACTCTGTTGTGTTGGAAAACATTGCTATGCTGAAGTGTGCCCGTCCAAGGACCAAATACCCAGATGAGCAGTTGAAAAGAGCAAACAGGCTCCTTTGCCTCCAGCGAACAGTCCCTTATCATTGATCACTAAAACAATAGGGTGTGGACATGAAAATAGAATGAACACAATATATATATATATATAAACAGCAATCATAACATGCATTAACAATCATTAACATAACATGTAACGGTACATAACATGTAAAGCACATCAATATTCAACGATTTCCAGCCTGTGGCTGGCAGATCCCATAAGTCTACAAAGACCCTTGCCGATTGATGAACAAATGTGACAGAACATCAATGAAACATAAAGACGCATTAGAAACACTGTCTGCTGTCCACGATCTACACAAGTGAAACGGACGCCGGGTCAGGTAACCCTTCAACCCTCCCAACGAAAGGGAGTATGCCTCGAAGTTCAAGCACAAAACTTCGTCTGACTGACTGACCCAATTGTCCAACTACCCGCGATCTCATCATCTTACCGACCCGACCCGACCCGACCCGCCCACCCATCACCCCATCACCCGCCCGCTGCGCCGACCGCCCACGCGCGCGTGCCGCGGACGCGGGGCCCCACCAGGCGGGACGTTCTTGAAGCTGATGGTTTCCGGTCCACGGCCATTTTCTGGGCGAGCTGCGGGTCACGGTCGATGTCAGACATCGATCCGAACGGAAACTCTGCGGACGATGCGCTGGAATAGATTTGGTGAACGGAATCAGCTGGGTATTTGGAACCAAAGAGCTGGCTGTCCAATGGGAATTCCCCGCTGGCTGGAGCCCAAACCAATGTGCCTTAAAACCTAGTGGTACTTGGTGCGAGGGTCTGCGCGTCCGCGCGTCCGAGGGACTTCAGGCTTCGTCTGGATCTCAACCACAATGGGTCCATGTCGGTCAGTGGGTCCAACTGGTTTCTGAGGATGTAAATCAGATGTACTGTCAGCAATGGGAGTTCCAAGAATATTCCGACAAATGATGAACACCTCAAGCAACATTCCATCCATGGGAGAGGTTCCACCCAGGTCAAGGTGTTGGCGTGGGTTTGCCGCATTTGCGAACGCTCCGCGAAGGCTACTCTAATGCCCGGAACTTAGCAGAACGCCATTCACAGCCAATGATCAGCAACCACTCAACCACTTGTCAGCATGCGTGCTTCCACGTGTTTTGTTTTGGCGGCGGGCATCATGTTTCATCTATGTCCGCCATCCCTCAACATGGTGGCAGCAACTACAAACATGCACCACATGATATCAACCAACACTATGGTATATATAGAGTAATTGCAGTAGTTTGTTTTTTGTTTGGTTTCTCTATGTTTGTCTTCCTTCCATGCGACCGAACAAAACAACATGTATTGAATTTTTAAAATTTAGCACTGGAAGTTCTGAAGAAACCTTCGGTGTTCCCACTCCAGGAGTTTTGCCAGGAGACGTTCGTCCACATCCAGCACCATGTAGTGCTTGCTGTTCCAGTCCTGACGCTGTACAACGAATGCTGTGACGAACAACCATGGTATTCCATGATTTGTCTCATGGAAAGCGCAGCTCGTTCGTCCAACACACCATGACGAACGACCAGTTCTCGTTCGTCCAACACGGCTGTGCCTCACAAGGCCTGACCGTGCATCAGCTACGCATTCGGCGAAGCATTCCATCACAGAAGCTTCTGGTTGCGAACGGAAACAAGAAGTTTACCTGTTGGCCTGGGGGTGTCCTGAACATGGTTTTGTCACGTGTTTCTTTATGTTTTTTGTAATTAGATAGACTTAATGGACTTACACCCTAGTTTCAACACCCAAAAGAGCACCTCACATTTTGCAAAGTCATGCATCTTTCGTTGCAAAAGAGCTTCAAACAACTCATTAGCACCCTGTGATCCGCGGCTTGATGGATCGCTCATCTTCCTTTCGGGAAAACTGGCACAAAGACTCTCATGGGCGATAAGGATGTTAGGGGTGTCCCAGGAAACCTGCAACTGTCGTCAAAAGGTCTTATCGCTATTTTAAAGAAAGGCCTGCAACTGAACCATCATCATCCCACTGTTGCAGGGAATGTACCCAATGAAGATAATCATAAAGTGATTCCAACCGCAACTCCCTCTCCATAAAACCACTTCTCATCACCCCTCCATGGCTAGTACCTCCGCATTCCATGGACACGATGCAGGAAGAGACAGTGGCATTCGCTAAGAAAACACACACGCACTTCCACAATTTGATGATGATGACGAGATAGGATTGGGATGGATAAGGTCAGGATCAGAAAGGAGATGGCAGCCATGACTCGAGTTCAGAAGTTGCGTCTATCTTGTCATCGAGAACACTTGTAGCCCATACAATTGCTTCAAAATCTTGATCCCATGTTTTGTTTTTTAATCCCCCCACATCTCGCTGAGGTTTTTCCTTCACTCCCTCACCGAGAGGAAGAACTTTGGAACGATCGCCGGGTTTTGCGCCGCAATGCCTAGGGTTTTGAGCCGCCCAAAAACCGCCACGACGACCTTTACAAAGGGAAGAACACCAACGACATCAGGGTCCCAGCTCGACCAACTGTTGGGTCCTGGGTCCCAGTGGGTCCCAGTCGAACAACTTGTGACTAGGAAGGAACAAAGGGCATCGCGACGAACGGAGCAAGCTACGAACGGGGCGCTCCTGGCATTACTACTAACTACTAGCAACTTGACTCCATTCGATATGACAGAGGTTCTTGAATATGGTTTTGCTAAAAAAGGAACTGGGAACGATGTTCTCACAGAATACATACTAAAAGTAACTGAGACAAACATTTTAAGGTGTTCTGTGACTTTCCTGGTTCTGCCATGTCAAAAGTAGAGGCTGCCCTCCAGCTTGGCATGGGAACTGCTTGCAGGTTCGCTCACTAGGAAACATAAGGGGAACTCACAGAGTGGCAGTGACGACTCTTTCTTTT